CCCACTTCGGGAAATGTTTGCACAGAGGGCTCTTGTTGATTTGCTGGCCCGCCTTCACTTAGGGCGGGCACTAGGCTTGCTGGGGCCTTAGCCCAGAACATGTACATTATGGCAAGGCCCCTTCTTGAGGGCTCAATCCTCACATTCCATCCCCCTTAGCTTCGAAAGTCCGCTGAGATACTTACTTCGCAGGTGCCTTCCTTTTCAGCAGTCTCTCGTATTCTGCCACCACCTGAGGAGCTGTCTCAATCAGTTCCTCTCTGGTAAACCACCGATCTTCTTTTGGATCCGTATGATGCCTGAATCTGACGCGATACTCTCTCTTGGGTTTAGGAGGTCTTCCTCGACCCAGCGGCTTCGGAACAGGCATCCATAATGTCGTCGATGTCCACTTGACCATCCATGGTTGGGGGCAGCATTGATCTCGTGGAAGGGAATTGATCAGTCTCAGCGAAAGGTGCAAGCTTCGAGGCATGAAAGACTGGGTGAGTGCGTAGGTGTCCAGGGACACGAATGACATATGTGGGGCCATCCATCTCATCTCCCACTATATCCAGGACTTCCCAGGGACCAAAGTACTAAGGCATTAATTTGCGAGAGATTCCGAACTCCTGTCCTAACTCACTAGCCTTGACCCAGACACGTTCCCCTACCTGAAATGTGGACTGTCAACGGTGTTGATTCTCAGAAGCAATCATTGGTTGTTGAGCTTTCTTCATGTGCTTGACAGCTTCTTGCAGCAACTTCTCATATTGCACACCATACTCAAGTGTGCCTGGAGTTGCAGCGGGCCGGTTTTCAGGTAGGAGGAAGTCTAATGCTGATCTATGCTTCCATCCCAAGTGAAGTTGATTAGGACTAACGTCGGTACTGTTGTGGACAGCATAGTTGTACAGGCTGGCGATGAGAGGCAACTGCTCATCCCAATCATCCTGGTTGGGCTTGATGTAATGCCTCAGCAAGTGTTGTACAACTCTGTTCATTTGCTCGGCTTGTCCGTTGGCTTCGGGATGATTCCCTGAAGTCATCTGAAGTTGACTGCCCATCTGTTCTGCAGTCTTCTTCCACAACTCACTTGTGAATCGGACATCTCGGTCACTAACGATTGACTTTGGTAAACCAAAGTCACGCACCCAGTTGTCTTTGAACAACTTGATGACATAGTCAGTTCTTGCGGTCTCTTGCATAGCCACTAGTCTAGCGTACTTGGTGAATCGATCGATGATGACGAAGATATGCCTCTTGCCACTTTTACTAGTCACCAGGATGTCCATGAAATCCATGGAAACACTCTGTCCTGGACCAGCAGGAATAGGCAAAGGCTTCAACAACCCAAGCGGTGCTTGAGTTCGTTACCTGTCCCGCTGACAGACCTGACCGGTCTCTACGTACTTCTTTGCGTCATCTAACATTCCTGGCCACCAAAATCGCTGTACTAGGTTAGCACTCGTCTTCTTATAGTCGAAGTGTCCCGTTGCGTCATGGCATTCTCCTAAGAACAAACTACGCAAAGGTTCACTAGATGGAACTACTAATCTTTTTATTCCGGGCTTATCAAGATAGAGGAGCCCGTCCACCATCACAAACTCACTTTCCGTGGCCTTGTCTTTTGCTTGAAGTTTGCGAATGATGTCCATCGTGATAGGGTCTTCCTGATAGGCTCCCACCAACGATTGAGTTACTTCATCAGATACGCCAAAGTCAGAAACTAGCGCACCTAGGTAGTTTGCTCTACGTGATAGCGCATCGGCAACCTTATTATACTCTCCCTTCAGATACTCAAGCTTGAAGTCATACTGGTCTATACCGCTTGAGTGCATCAGAAAGAGCCGGTTGAGTCTTGATCCATTTGAGGGTCTGATGATCAGTCCTCAAGTAGAAGAACCTTCCCAATAGGAAGTGTCTCCAATGGACAAGTGTTTTATATAGAGCATAGAGTTCCCTTTCATAGGTGGACTTTGCCAACTTCTTTGATGGCATCTTCTTGCTCATATACTCAATCGGTCTCAACTTTTTCCCAGCCTGTTGAGCCAGCACTGCGCCAATGCCGTATTGGCTTGCGTCAGTGGTCACTATGAATGGCTTCTGAGGATCGGGAACCATGAGAACCTCATGATTCATGAGTGCATGCTTCAATCTCTTGAAAGCACCCTCACACTCATCACTCCAGTCCCACGGTGTGTCAAGTCGAGTTAGATGAGTCAAAGGAGAGGCGACTGTAGAATAGTTCTTTACAAAGTTCCTATAGTAGCCGCACATTCCTAAGAAAGATCTGACCTCGGTGACAGTCTGAGGTCGTGGCCAGTCTCGAATACTAGCCACCTTCGCATCCTCCGGCCTAATCCCTTCCGCGGATACTTCATGACCCGAGTATAGTATCTTAGTGCGACCGAACGCACACTTCTCTAAGTTGACCTTATACTTGTGCTATCGCAGGAGTGAGAGTACAGTCTCAACGTGCTTTGCATGCTCCTCGACAGACTTGCTAAAGATCAGAATGTCGTCGAGGTATACCACGACAAACTTATCTAAATGGTCATGGAAGATCCAATTCATAGCGTGCTGGAAAGTACCCGACGCATTGCAAAGACCAAAGGGCATCACTACAAATTCATACAGACCGTATCTGGTCTGAAAGGCTGTCTTGTGTTGAACCTCAGGTCTTATTGCGATCTGACGATATCCGGATTTCAAGTCTATCTTACTATAGTACTTGCATCCCTGCACCCTATCCAATAGGTCGTCTATGCGAGGTAGAGGCTCTGCGTTCTTCACTGTAATGGCATTGAGGCCTCTATAGTCGATGCACATCCTCAAAGTACCCCCCTTTTTCGGTACGAATAGAACGGGTGATCCGTAAGGGGAAGTACTAGGCCGAATCCATCTTTTCTCTGTCAGCTCCTTAAGCTGTCGCCGAAGTTCATCTAACTTGGCGGGAGCCATCCTATAGATCCTTTCCTTTGGGGTCTTACTCCCTGGAATGATTTCTATAGCGTGGACAGCTTCCCTTTCAACAACTCCCGTGGGCTCCTCGAACACATCAGGGAACTTAGCAACGACGCGTTCTATCTCTGGGGGTGTTTTAACGGCTTCCCCTTTCTGAGAGACACACAAGGTACATACCCTCCTCTTGGTTTTGCTTATAGTAGTTGTAAAACGCTGATGCGCACAAGCAGCCATAGGTATCTATAATACTACTGACCTTGAACTTGGTCAATCTGACAGTTCGGCCATCGAGCAACTTATGCTTGAGCACCTTCTTATCCCAGACAAATTGGGGCTTAGCAACTTCGAGGTAGTACATGCCTAACAACATGTCGAATGGTAAGTCGTCGCTAACCAAGAACGAAATCTTATGATTAAGTTCGCCCCCTCCATAGGAGAAGGTACAGACTACGTCCCTTGATATAGTCAGTTACTATCATGCGCTCCTTGTTGGCCAAAGTAGATGCTATAGGTCTACTAAGGTGTCGTACCCGGTCCTGTAGGTGCAGCCTTTCCAAACAGTCGCGACTTACGTAATTCCGCGTGGATCCGATGTCTATGAAAGCACCACATTTGCGACCTCCTACATCCACTTCCACCACGAAATGTTCCCCTCTAGAACCTTTCCTTAGCGCCACCCAAGACTCGCGAGGGTCCTTATTTGACCACTCACTCTCCAAGTCTTCTAAGGCATCAGACACATCTAACGTACAGAGCATAGTTTGGTCCAGATGAGTCTGCGGGGTGACTAAAGAGTCATTAGCTTGGGCCTTCTCATGAAGTGGGGAGGTTATCAGGCCCACTTCATCTTGAGTAGAAGCAGCTAAAACTTCCACTGGCCTCACGCGTTTCCCGAGCTAGAAGCCTGGGCATAAGATGCCCCTACCTTTGGAGGTATCTTTTGCGTAACCTTTGCGTTTTGACACTTGTACTGCAAGTGTCCGTATTCCCCGCAGTTAATACAAGCGCCACGCACTCGGCGGTCACGCCACACGTCTTGATCAAGACATGCCTTGACCCAGTCAACCACTTTGGTCTGATTGGAGGCGGCCTTCCCTTGACTCTTTGGTTGGCCCTTCCCTCGGCCACCTGCCTTAGCTTTTACAACTGCGGCGAGGGTGCTACCCTCAGCGGTCTCCTCGCCGTCATACTCTGAATAGTCCATCAGGTCAGAGAGCTCGTCAATCTCTGTTCGAGTCCCACCAGACTCAACCATCATCAACTTAGCCCCCTTCTTCTTCCACTCCTGAGGACTCTTCTTCTTCTCTGTGTCATTCTGGGAGGGCTGAGCATTGCCTAGTGTGGCCTGCCAATCTAAGGCTTTCCTAGACAATGTCTCAAACGAATGGTACTCGATGCGTGCCTCACTGGTCAGTAAGTTCCTGATGTTCTCTGGAAGACATCTGACAAACGTAGTTAATAGGAACTGGTTGCTTTAGTTAATGCCTGGAACGAGGATCAGGCTCTCAACGATAGTCGTAAGCTCTCTAACCGACTTGAACTTTCATTGGTCTAACTTGTTAATCGCATCAGTGGCCCTTTGTGCCTCCTGTGGATTATGCCATCGAGCTTCTACCATCACCATGAACTGGTCTAACGTTAGAGTCTTAGCCCAGTCCGCCATGCGTCGCCCATACCCAGCCTTTATAACTACACCATCTAGCCATTTGGCTGCCTTACCTTCGAGGTAGGATGCAGCGGTAACCACTTCGTCCTCCAGCAAGGTCCTCTTGGCCTTCACCCAAACCGGAACTGACCTCAACCAAGTGTTGAGCTCTTCGTCCTTTCTCTCGCCTGAGAAGGCAAGAGGCGGTTTCATTGGGGKCTTAGGATACCATTGACCCTGCGGCTGTCCAGATTGCTGAACAGGTTATTGCGGTGGTGTAGCTCCCACCGCTGGACCCGAAGAAGAAGATGCAACAGTCTGTACGACTGCTGCAGACGTACCACTTGGTTGTGTACCAGCTTGAACTGGAAAGGGCCCTGACATCGCCGATAATGGCAACGACGATTGTGCTGGTGGCCTAAATCCTGGCCTTGTCAAAGCGTCCAAGATCTGGTCTAGAGTGCTCTGCATAAAGTCCAACCTGCTGTCCACGTGCGCATGCAACGACAACATGTTGTTCCTCAACACTTTCATGGGCTCATTCATTCCTGAGTCATCCAAGTCCTCTAATTCAGCTTTGTCAGCCACTAATGTATCAAGCCTGGCTGTTCTATTTTTGATTTCCCTTTCTCTGTCGGTAGCTTGTTTCAGTTCCCTCTCTAATCTTTCACGGATCCTTTCGACCTGTTGCAGCTCCCTGAGCTCCCTTTCGCGAGGAGTCAACGGGTTGAACTGCGAGCCTGCCATTTGACTTGTAGACAGACGTAATCCTACTGAACTGGAAGTGCCCGCGGACCCTGTTGGCATTCCCAATTGGGGTCCAGACGAGGAGACAACAGAAGATGCAGTAGAGGATGCTGCTGCAGAAGACATGGATGTTGCCCTGGCTGTTGCTGCAGCCTGTTCCCTAGCTGCAACGTTTGCTGCCTCTCTCGATGCTGCGAGAGCACGGGCTCTGCGTTCGGCACGAATGCGTCTTTCGTCGTCCGGTTGTAGGGCCTGGAACACGTGCGGGATCCTACGTGACCTTGCACGTGTTAGTCTAGCATCGTCAACTCTCTCCTCATCGACGTCTGACCCGTTCATGAATTAGGCAAACATTGTCTGCACTAGAACCCCCTAGTGGAGTCCTACCACAGCATGTGTCTGACCGGCACCTAATTTTCTAAAAATAGTTGTGTCCGGCAGGTCCCCTACTGTATCGATCAAGTGGCATGTCTACAACATTCACAACAGATTGTCTACATAGTCTAGATGTACTCTGATTGGTTCGCTTACAGCAGCATTAGACAGAACAGGCTATGGTAGCATACAACACTCCTAATCTAATTCTGTCTGTTAGGTGTTAGCAGTCTGTCCACCAACTAATCAAAATACAAAAAGACCATGTTGCAGATGTATGATGTATTCAGTCGAGCACCAATTAGAACCTACCCTCCCCTCAATCCAACGTACCGGACAGCATCATTGAGCAGGCAGTGTCTTCGTGTGTATTTCGGCCCACCCCTGTGCCCAAGTTGTCGCCGAGCAAGCCAGCCAGTCCACTCTTATTTACCCTCGTACGGAAACGAGCCTTRCACCCGGTTGATCTGGCTGATYAGGAGGAATTYAYAGAGYGCCCCCATCWCTTCAGGAATTCTTTAACRTCGCAGTCAGGACGACGATCACAGCCAGAATCAATCCGAGTCCCCAACCAGAAATGTTTATAGACGGTCTGGTAAGCGTCTCTAAAAGGTTGGCACACCCGGCGAAACTTCTATTTAGCGTAGCAAGTGCCAAAATGGACAGCAGCCACCGCATGCCTGACCTACTCCCATTGGGTTGGCATGGTGACCGTGACCCAGTGCTTTGACCAGGGCCCTTCAGAGGCACCGCCCTTTCTCCTTCCAGATGCTTTCGGGAAGATTGTCGTCTCTCAAGGTAGCGCACTCACGACACCTCACCAAAAGAGAGGACTCTCAAGTTGGGCTCACTTCCTCACGGTAAGAAGAGATTGAGAGAGTAGATAAGGTAAGGGAACAACGTACCTAGAGATAGCTGCCCCCAACCACAGATTTCTCACCAATTGAGCTGAGTGTGCATTTGATGACCGGTCTTGGCATACACTGCCGTCTTAGCCTTCCGGCGCACCCCTCTCTACCCAGGGGGGTGCGCCTATATATGGCCTAACATCACAAGTACCAACTGCGAAGAAGCATCGTCAATGCACCAAGTTTGTATAACGCCAGTGTGCCAGAGGTAAGTGGCGATCAAACCAGCTCCGATACCAAATTGCAAGGAACATGAATATGGACGAAGCACAAAAATCTAGAATGCAAAATCACACTGAAGTCCAAGTAGTCAAAGCCAGAGCAGATAGCACAATGGAACCGAGTAACCATCCAATTGAGAATGATACAAAAGAATCGTGAGTCAATGTCGATGCCCAACAGGGCAACACCAACAACATAACCCAATGTAGCTCTCTCTTATGAATGGCGCCCGCCCTATCTACTCTACAGACTAAGCCTACAACTACAGCAATGAAAGCAACCAGACAACTTGACTACCAGCGAGTGATGATGTCAACACCAATGC